TGGACTCTGCATGGTTTACACTTCTTAATTGATTGTAGTTTAGTTCCTAGCCTCTTGAATAAGCGTTTTACCTGGCTAATATTCTCTGTCCTGATGAACACATTGCTGTTCTATCTTCTGAAGACAAAAACCACCTTATTTGCACTTCTGTGCTTTTTTCAATTGAACAACATACACTAATTTATAATTGTAATTAGAATTATCAATACTCCCTTATGGAGTCACTGTTGATAAATAAAATATCTCAAGGGCTTTATAAAATTCAGGCCTACTTTGTAACAGCCCACTTACCAAATGACTGTTTAGAAATAGGACAAGGGCTATTAGTAGCCAGGACATGGTTAGTTATGAAAACTCTTTATTCCACTTCAGGATTACTTTCTTAACTCGATGATTCATTTATCGGTTCCTTGTTTAATTGTTTTGTGTGTGGGGAGAGAGGATGTCTCTGCGTCAGTGTTGACTCCTGAGATTGCCCGGACAAGTACCTACAGTTTTCTTGGCAAGATTACAGAAATAGTTTGCTGTTGCCTCCTTCCTAGGGCTTAGATGAAGTGTCTGGCCCAAGGTCCCCAAGATGGCTTCATGCCTAAGGTGGGACTAGAACACATATTCTCCCAGTTTCTAGCCTGGTAACTTTACTACTACACCAAACTGGCTCTGGTTTAAACTAGAGCAGGGGTGTCAAACTCGCAACGTGATATGACGTGTTGCGACGTATCACAACATTTTTTTCCATTGCTAGCAATGGGGTGGGCGCAGTTTCGTTATGACGCATCCAGCCCGTGTCTAGAGCATGTCAGAAAATTAGTCAAATAGGTTTCTCTCCAGATCACTTATTTTTTTAATGGGGCATATTTCAGCTTTTTTTTTTTTTTACATAGGCAAAGACTCTGGGATATAAGCTCAAAGGACTTGATTAGTAAAACTAACTCATCCTATTCTCCACTTCATTTAGGCATCTATCAAAATAATTCACGTATGGCCTCATACTTAACCAAACTACACCATAATACTTATCAGATCACTTTTGCAAAAGTACAATTAAAAGCCTTTCTATCTCAAGTTCTATTAGGAAGATTCCAGATTATACCTTTTTGCACAAAAATTCAGACCTCGAAATTACTCAGAAGTAGAGTCTATGGAGCACATATGTTTGGTTTGTGGACTGCATCATGATCTGAAAGACACCATTATTTCCCTTTTATTGATTTTTCAATGAGTCAATTTAAACCATGTATGAATTTTCTTTTATATAATAATGTGACTCGTAGCCAAATTTTTTCCTGCCATAATTAGACATAGGAAGAAACTATTTGCTGAATGACTTGTTTTCCTTATGTAAAAATGTATGTTTTCTTTGTTATTTTGTTTGCTCTTGGTTCCTTTGACTATAATAAACTTACATTCATTACTGCTTTGATATATTGCCATACCTTTACTGTAGTAAAGTTTGACATTCCGCCTTCCACAATGCTCTTTGATACATTTCATAACCGAACACGAGTTATTTAATGCTTTATTGCTAATTTTATAGGATCGGAAAATCCTGCCAATTTACCCTATTCTTAAGAGAATTTCAAGCAAGGAACTTGATTACACTCTATCTAATCTATTAATATTAATCATCCCAATCTGTAGTTACTAAATATTGTACTTTTGTATCACCACTCACTGCACTACAAAATATTATCACAGTTTTATTATAATCTATCATAGTGCACTCCTACTTTCTTAGTTATAAGCTGGTTTATCATTTATTATTTCAGTTTATATGACTCTTCATATAAAACACTTCAGTCCAGATTCAGCAATTAATCTTTCATTAATTAGGTTTAAAAAATGCAAAGACAAATCATAACACAAAGATAGTTAACAATAATAAAATTATTTTGTCTTACATTATATTTAAGTATATTATAGTACAGGAGTCTACTTTTTGAATTCTAATTCTGTCATCCTTCCGCCTATATCCACCTATATCAGAGCAGTACAAACTGTATGCATGTTTTCTGTTGATAAACAGCTTTTGATTGGAGTCCTCAGTCAGCATAATTAATAACATCTTGACTAGAAATTCAAAAAGTTAATAATAATAATAATAGTAGTAGTAGTAGTAGTAGTAGTAGTAGTAGTAGTAGTAGTAGTAAAGTTGGAAGGGACCTTGGAGGTCATCTAGTCCAACCCCCTGCTCAGGCAGGAAACCCTATATCATTTTAGACAAATGGCTGTCCAGTCTCTTCTTAAAAACTTCCAGTGTTGGAGCATTCACCGCTTCTGGAGGCAGATTGTTCCACTGGTTAATTGTTCTAACCGTCAGGAAGTTTCTCCTTAGTTCTAGGTTGCTTCTCTCCTTGATTAGTTTTCATCCGCTGCTTCTTGTCCTGCCTTCAGGCACCTTGGAAAATAGCTTGACTCCCTCTTCTTTGTGGCAGCCCCTGAGATATTAGAACACTGCTATCATGTCACCCGTCGTCCTTCTCTTCATTAAACTAGACATATCCAATTCCAGCAACCGTTCCTTATATGTTTTAGCCTCCAATCCCCTAATCATCTTTGTTGTTCTTCTCTGTATGCTTTCTAGACTCTCAACATCTTTTTTACATCGTGGTGACCAAAACTAAATGCAGTATTCCAAGTGTGGCCTTACCAAGGCATTGTAAAGTGGTATTAACACTTCACGTGATCTTGATTCTATCCCTCTGTTAATGCAGCCTAGCACTGTGTTGGCTTTTTATAGTTATAGTTCAACAGGTTGAAAAAGACACGATTAAAGTACAAATCATATTATGGTATCTCTAAGTTCTTGAGAAGAACAAAGATTCCACAATGATAAAGCTGAAATAACTCCTACATAACAACATCTTTTTGAGATGTGAAAATTATCTAAACGATTGCCTTCTTTCATAAGAATCAATTAATCAATGAATATCATCAAACTCATATTTCTATTGCTACATCTTTAAGGAGGATGAGTATCAGAGGGGAGCTTGATTTGTTTTAAAAATATCTGGAGAACATTCATGGTAAAACAAAGTATAAATCCCAATATGTAAATACTTGCTCTCTACAAGACTTGTACTTATTAAAATTAATGAATGTAAGTCAGATATTAATGGTTCATTGATGCAGGATATGTATTGAATGCAAAAAGTCCCTAATTCAATCTCAAGTAGTGATTAATGAGACAAACCTCTGCTTGAAACCCAAGTTACTCCTACCAAGTCAGAAGAGATCATGCTGAGCTAAACAAATGAATTATCTGACCTCCTGTAAGGCAACTTTTTATATTTCATAGCACTGAAGCTATTCTGTAGTGCTTAGCTTGTTATTCTTGTGTCAAGCTTTTAATATATATAATGATTTTATTTATAGAGAGCATAGAATTGACAGGGGTTTCAAACCCCTGATGCATGCCAAGAATATTTGGTGGAAAATGTTTTTACAGGATTGATTAAGTAAAAGTTACCAAGCAGCTTGGTGCTTTAGGAAGAACACTGAGGACAATGAATTACTGAATTTTGCTCCAACCTAATTTAGGCTGCTTTGAATCACGAAGAATGAGTGGAATAAGTATGGATTCCAAGTCTCTTGTCTTGAGACACGTGTTGAGTTCTTCTCCCATTTAGCATGGCTTATCATAATACAGACAATGGAAGGCAGTTTTCTTCAGTTCTCCCTAAATTAAAGACCAGCATTGTCAAGAGGTGTATAAAACCTATTAAGGTAGCTTTTCAAGAAGAGAGCACCCAGAGCCAACAATTTCAGACTATCCTTTAACTATTATGAAAAATCCCTGGTGCTACATGTATTTATACATCCTAAGCAATAATTCCTTGTGCTAATTTCAATAATTTCAATAAAGCTACAGAAAACATAACTAGAACATGGACCTACTGTTGACTCATCCATGTGTACTTGAAAATTCAGTTTCACAGCAAACAAACCAAAGACATTCTAGTCAAAAATATAAGCAGGCCATTACCTGTAGGCAACATTAAAAATACGAAATACTTATAGAAGGTTTGATTGTGACATCTAGAGAAGCTAAGAACAAAAGGACTTAAAGTAAAAAAATAAATTTAACTTTGGAAACCATGTTAAATCAGAAATAGCTGCACCATGAAGTTTCGTATTATTCTTTTAAAATTAGGTAGAGATTATATATTTAAACTCTCAGCTTTTGGAAGTGTATCTTGAGAAAAAAAAGCTTAGGAATATATGGGCCTTGTGAGCCACATACACCATAATTCAAATAATTCCTCACAAGACTGTTTGCTGAGTCTGCTACTTTATTCTGTGTTTTAGTTCTACTTCCTGTCTTGATTAGTTACCATGGGAAATGCAAGAAGTCACAACAGAAGGAATTTACAAACGATGCAACAACATATTCAGTGCACAGGATTCCCAAGAGTTAATAAAATATAAAACAAAAGATAGAAAGATGTAGTAATAGTGTGTTTTGTGGAACCATAACTAGTTTTCTAGAAAACTGTTTAAAAATTCTGCCATTGTTTCTTCTAAGGGAAGAAGGAAAAATTCTGTATATTCTTAAAAATAAGCCTCTTCGTGCTAACCTAAAGATATTTTGCAAGGCTACTTGTTTTGGCTTTCTTTTTGAGTTTTTAACAGGTTCAAATATTGTAGCATTGCCTTTTCAATTGCTGCACACTGTTTGAAAACAACAGTGATTACAAAGGCAACTGCATTGCAGTGGTGGGAAAAAAGAATTAGAGGATACAGAGTTTGTAAAATGTTCTGGTATTTGGGAAGAGAAAATTGCTGTTTACATAGAAAAGAGTATTAAAAACTGCCATTTCTTTTTGGCTTAAAATTCCACTTTCTAAATACTTAAAAATGTTAAAGACTTCAAAAGCATTCTTGGCCTAAAATAATACAGCAAAACCAAAAAAAAAAGATTAGTAAGAACTGAAAGCATCTGAAACAAAAAGGGAGAAATAGGTTCTTATTCATAAATAAAAAATATAAAAATAAAATACCTGTAACCAGGGTCCATGTGCTGCATATGGATGCTCCTCTGTAGCAAAGGCCCCTTCAACTCCTGTAGATACAAAAGTGATTGCTGTATCTCCTGTAATACTTTTGTATGTAAAGTGCCGACCATGTAATAATCTGCCTCTGAAACAATAAACAAAAAAATGACTTTCAAATCAATATGGTCTTCCCCTTGTGGCATTCTGTCACGTCACGTACTCCTCAATACATATAATATTTTAGGCCCATAATTTTAGAGTTCAAGAAAAAAAATGAAATAGAGATGAAGGAAAGAAAACAACTATAACTTAACTACAGTAATTACAACTCTAGTGGATTGGGTAAAAAAAGAAAATTCATCTAAGTTCCAATATATACAAACTGCAAACTCAATGACTTGTATCATAGAACAAGCCGCTTTCACAGTACAATGACTGATGAAATGAAAGAGATGCAGTTAAATGAAAGCAATTCTATATCTCACCTATATTTCTCTCTTCCAGACACATTCCATCTAAATGTATGTTTTTTTCATAAACAAAAAGGTATTTGAATAGCAAATTAAGATAATATATGTGTGCTGGAAGATTTCCTAAGGTTACCAGGAAAACTCTCTATTTTAGAATTCAAGTAAATATATATATATAATAATCTAATTATACAGCAAAATACAAGATTGCATTGTGGTAAGATTATACAGCACAATATAATATGCTAGAATTGTAACAATCAGTTCAGACACTTGAGACTTGACATATTAAGAGTTAACCAAAGCCTTGAAATGCAGATAGTCCTCAGGTTACGATGGCAATTAGGACCAGACTGCTGTCACTAAGCAATGTGGTATAAAGTATGGTGAAGTTAACATCAATTACCAATGACAATCCAGACAGTCCCGCTTGCTCTCTTAACCACAAAATACACACTAGGAGGCCCTGCGCAGGCCACACACAGGTTGGACCGGGGGGGGGGGTTAAGGTGCAAGTGCAGGGAGGCCACAGGAAGGAGGGTGTGGGTTGTGTAAAACAAAACATCTTGTCCTTTCAAAGACTTTATACAGCTATTTCAAGGTCTTCCCCTGTTGTTTGAATATGTGTGCTTTCAGGGAAGATATCTGTACTGAATTACTATTTTAGTAAAGCAATGTCTCTTGAAGGATCACGCCAAATCTCTGAGATATAAAACTTTCACATTTTGAACAAGGGCACATTGCTCATTTCATGCAGTGCCCTCTGAATGGCACTCCTCAATCCCAATGGGCATATAATATTACATGCTTAAATACTTTGTAAACATATTCAGTTTAGCCTTTTAAGTCTGTTTGAAGAGACCTCAGTAATGTAGGGACAACAGAATGATCCTTACAGCCCCTCATACGAAAACTAACCTTCTACTCACCTTAAACAAAGTGGAATTAATGCTCCTGATTCCTGGTTGAATTTTAGGTGCACACTCTCAAGCTGTCTTGTGCGAATCAGTTCATGAGGAATAATTGCTGCTGAGCTGTCACTTTCTAAACTGTCCTTACGACTCCTAAATCAAAGAAGGTATTGGATTTTATCCCATCTTTTAAATATATTTTTGGTCAACTCAAGGTGGAGAATACACCTAATATTCCTGCCCCCTATTTTCACCACCATAACCACCACCACCATCCTATGAGGTACAATGAGTAGAGAGAGAGTGACTCGCCCAAAGTCATTCACCCTTCATGCCTAAGGGAGGCCCAGAACTCTCCGTCTCCTGCTTTTTAGTCCAGAGCCTTAACCACTATACCAAACTGGCACTGTAAATCCTTAAGCAGAGAATTACTGGAGCAATATTTAGGTTGTAAGATTTAACAAAATATATATGAGGCCTTTATATCAGATCTGTGTGTGGAGTCCCCTTTGCTGAGATTTCGCCAGCTTGTTTTATTTTGTATATAATAATTTAATTATTATTAATTATCTGTGACTTCAGTTCTGCCATGGGTGGATTTGATCCTTGCACTACCTAGCTGGTGAAAGCAGCAAGAATACTGAGAGCTGGATCTGGGGTGTACTTAATACTTCACAGGAAAGCTGCACTTTTGATATACCTGAAACTTGTGCTAAGTACCCACAGTCCAATCCATTCTAACCAACGGAAGTAACAATTTATTTAAGTCAGACTTAATTGAGATTTCTACATATAGTATTAGCAAAAAGGAGTCTCGACTGAATTTTCTTAATGGTTAATGTTATCCTATATGGTTAAGTGGTTATGGTTTTCTGACCATGGTAAAATATCTTGCTCAGAACCAACAAATTCAACATTTAGAACAAATGTTGCCTAGAAGTAAGGTTATGAACAAAAGCTTGGGATGTCCGAATCTACAAATATCTTTAGCACTGAGAGTACACCAAGTACAGTATAAAAATTGTTTGTAATTTCAGGAGCCGGTATTAAATCATTATGTTTTGTCACATATTTTATCAAGATATATAGCTATATTTATATCCCAATATTTTGATTTTCTGCCAAACAAATTATTGGCTTAAATGGGGATGTTTATATTCATAATTCTTTGGAACAAACTACAAACTAATTCTAACTTTAAAAATAAATGAATCTATTATTAGACCTTTGTTTCAAATCAGTATTTTGTTTGCACTTTACTCTGAAAGTTATCCTGCCTAATTTCTTCACTTGACCACATTCTATTGAATTTTACCTCTGACCAGATAATGGTCCTGGGACAAGCTTTCCTAAAACTGATCTTTCATTAAAACCTGTTAGATCCAGCGGCTGACATCAGGAGATTTCTGTTTATAGAGGTTTTTCCATTTTCCATTTTCTTTGTATTTGAAATGAAGGCCTTCTCTTTGCCTTGCCAGTTCTTAAGAAAGAAGGGTATTGGCAGGGCCACCCACATATAAGATTTTCAATAACCTACACTAAGCTGAATAAAGAATCAAGTATTCTTTCTTTCAGCTTGAATGAAAACCATGCATGGTCCTGGGGAAGAAGACAACCTAGTTGAGGGGGGTGATGGAATTTCTAACACTTTAGGGAAAATCAGGGGGAGCCTAAAAACTTATTACTGCAGCTTTTTTTCTCTGCAAATGTACCTTTGAAAGCAGGAGCTTAATACAGGTTTTATATCTGGTGTTTTCAGTTTTATTTCTACTTATTTTGGTTATGTTCATTTTTAGGATTATCATCTCTTACCCTCATTTACTCTTACACACATAAAGCACTCTTAACCAGATCTATTTAACACAATTCTTTTCAGGTTTTCATTAACTAATATATTTTAAAAACTGCCACATAAAATTCTCCACTCAACCAACACAAATAATTCATGGATTCTCAGCTTATATCCATAAAGAAATGAATAAAACCTGACAAGAGCCATGACTTCTGTATTAAGAAAGAGAAGATGCTTTTAAATGAGAGCAATATGCCGGAAATGCCCCAGCATGAGACTGCATATCTAACATTTTATGGAACTGGAAGGAATCTGAGATTAAAGCTCATTCTGAATGATTGAAGGATTGTGGGAGGTGTAAGTGTGGGCAGTTGTCAGATTAATTCTTCAGATGATTAAATTCTTTTGTAGTCAATGTTTGAAGTCTCTTCATTTTTAATGAGTGCAATGCAGCAGTTACCAAGGTGACTTTTGCTGACTTTCAACTATTTCTTCCTTCTGTTTTCTGTTCTTACTATCAGACTGAATTGGTTTCTACATCTTGTGAATTAAGATGAACACTGTTAGCTATATTGCTGTATTAAACTTCAGTTCTGGATTTGGGTAGCTGAAGTGAAGCTAATAATCTGCAGGAAAACCACATCTCTACTTTGCTAAGAAAGCAATAGAAGTCATAGTCACATGAACAAATTTGCAATCATCTTTGGTCTTCCTGCAATATTAGAGAGAGATGTTATAAACCATGTCATTTGAAGGCAGTCAATATCAATTCTCCAGGGGGAAAAAAATCAACCACTGCTCGCTACACAGTTTAACTACCCTATACTTTTTCTGCAAACCAGAATTTCAATCTGAGAGACCAAAGTTTCAATAAAAGTTTATAGTCCACGTAAAGGAGAAACTAAGATTTGCTATGACATGCATTGTTTAAGAGATTAAAGCTTTCTAATAAAATAACAAACTAGGGTAATTATCCTTAAATGTTTACTATTTTTCTGAGCTCTACTATCTGGAGCATTTGATTCAGAGACAGAGAAGTGGACGTGCAGAAAAACAATATTCCACTGCTACCTGTTACTTAAATTAAAAGTTCTAAAAAGTAAATTAAAGTTACTTAACTCAAGAGTCTCCATGACCTACTGTGCTATATTTTAACAGACAATTAATATAACAATATCAGAAAACACTGATACCAAAGATTAGCGCTGATTGAGTAATGCTAAAAAAATGATATATTTGCAATGCTGCACTTGTATTTAAACACTTCCTTTGTTGTATACACTTTAATCTGGACAAAAAATAATGATATCATAATTTGTTTACTTTTACAACAGAGGACCAGTAACTAAAGTGAGAGATACAAAGTTACAGAAGAGATATAAAATGCTAAAGTTATACTATAGCATACCGTCTGTTCTAAATAGCTTTTACTATATAAGGTTTCAGCCAGCTCTTCTTCCAAGGAGAACAATCTATGACTATTGCCCAGGCATCATGTTCTACACACCACCGGTTCACTCTACATTATTTAACTTCTGACAGCACCCAGTCCCTACAGGGCTAATATGGCGAGGAGGGGGGAGAGGAGGGAAAAGATTGTCTAGATATTTTCTAGTTCTATCAACCTGAAAGTTCTTCTAAAGGTGAAAATATTTCCTCTTTTTTTACGAGATTTGGCTGCAATCCTTGGACGCTCATAACATTACAAAAAGCAACGTGCAGAACCTAATGTAATATTAATAAGTCAAACAGCCAACTCAGGGTGCAGACAAAAAAACCTCTCTTTGTTAACATTGAGTATTTCAGAGTTTACTTGAAAACAACTATCCTTTGTCTACTTGTGAACAATAATATACTATTATTCATATTGTACAGAGGGCAAAGGAACATTTCAAACTGAGAAATTAAAAAAAACAAATTATTTTTTTGTTTACACACACACACACACACACACACAGAGAGAAACTTTTATACCTAATGTACACAAAAGACCAAGTAATACGACCTAAATGCACTTACTTCCTATGTATCCCATATTGCTAGTAATGAAGTGATGAGTTCCCTTTCATTGGTGAACTTGAAAAAAAGGCTGGCTCATTGGTTAGAGATATTTGTTCATTTATTCATAAAATGTATCGGCTGCCCATTTTACCACATAAAAATCTCTCTCTCTCCCTCTCTCTCTCCATCCATGAATACATACATACATACGTTAAAACCATATTCTAAGAGATCCTGCACTGAGCAGAGATTTTTGTTTTATGCTACTTTAATTTAATGATGCTTACCCAGTGGAGTAAATACCAAGCAGAGATTAGCGTTCCCAAACCTGAGTATTTTTGCAGAAATTGAAATGTTCTTTATTTAGCCAGGTTTTCCACTGACTCTTTTCAACTGCCCTAATTATAAATAAGTTGTTATTTACGTTCCTTTCATTATTTAAGCCATTTTTACTGTTTTGTTTCACATTTTGTTATATACTGTATATCCAATACCACTTTGGTAGTTTCTAAATTTAATTTTCTAAATTAAAAGCAGTATAAAATGTTGCAAATCCATTGTTAAATAAAATATATTTGAAGTATAGTACCAACAAACATTATATACAAAAAATAGCCTTTCCTTCCATTATTATCTTAAGAAAAACTCATTCTTTCTCACTTCAAGATTCATCTATAAGACTAAACTTACGGTGCTCTCTCACTGTTCAATCCATTCTGCCTCTGAGTATTAATTGGTGGCAAAATTGGCTTGCTGTTAATCTCTAGTCCCCTTCGTAGAGTTTCTCGAATTTGCTCTGTGTCTGAAAATTCAAAAATGTAAAAATAAGGTTAACTATAGATGAGGTGATCTTTCAAACAGTAGCTTGGAATACTAAAACAAAGACCATATACTTCCTTTTTCATCTGTATATCAAAAACCCTAGTTTCTTGCAGCAAACTGGCAACTATGATTTCTTTTCATTTAATATAAACAACAATCCCAAAACCTAAGCTTTGAGTAATATTTCAAATTATGACTTTTGGAAAACATTAGTCACAATGCACTGAACGAAGCATTACAGTATATAATAGCAATGTTGGTCCTCTGGCTTTACCCCTTTCCCTATGAATGGGAAAATGCTATAGAGTTAACACAAAGTCACAGGCATTGGTACACAAATTTTTCAGTACTAAAACCTATGCTTGTAAAATATTACACCCTTTAACTACAGTATTTCCTAAATAAACAGTTTAGAACCAGAATTGTCTTTCTGCAAATAAAAGACTTCTTCAATTACAGAATGAAATTTCAGGAGACGCTGCAATGAGAGAAAAGGAGAAGAAAATTTCTGTGAATTTGCCCTGCATCAGTAACTCCCATGTTGTTTTCAAGACTTACCTCACTTTTTGACTGACAGTGTGCACTATCCTGAAAATGATCTTACTTCATTTGTTATCAGCTAGTACTTACAGGCTTTATAATGTTTAGTTCTATGACATTCTATCTGCATAGCCACACTGAAATCATGACAATAGAAAAACCCAGAGTTGACTGTTTCTATGCCTCTTCCCAGATGCTTGCCCTTCTCTCCGCAAAAAGATTCAAAATGCAATTGGCCGGGAAACAGAGATTGCCTCCTTCACTTGGGGGGAGGCAACTGCCTGTCAGCAAAAAGCTCCATTTTGGCTGCTAAGGAAAGGGTACAGTATATAGGGAACCTCTGCATAAGTACTCAATAAGAGTCAGGGGAAGAGATCATTATAGATGTTCTTCAGGGTAAATTGGGAGATAGTGAGTTTCAAATGGGGAATGGAAACTGACATATATGTTCAGTGAAAAGTAAAATGATGTATATTTCCATAAGATTGTATATGTGGGGGTGGGGGGGTGGAGGCTTATCTATGAACACGTATGCACAACCTTGCATCTGGGAAAAGATTCATTTTCAAAGTACTGACAAAGTTTGTTGAAGACCTAACTTGAAATGTAATATATTCTTGAGCTGGAAACGGTTGCCTAGCTATAATACTGTTTATTTAAATAATTTTAAAAAATCCGCTTATGCACAAGGTCTGAGTATATTTGGAAAGTGCCTGCCTTCTATTTTCAGTTATACTGAGAAATAAATATTTTAACTTTTAGAATTGACGTCAAAAATTTGCTAGGTTTCTTAGTATGGTAGCCATATTACTAAGTAAGAGATCCAGGAATCTATATATATATATTTCCTCACAACCCTGTGAGGTGGGTTGGGCTGAGAGAAAATAAACCTTAGACTGATGTGATCAAAGTTTAACTTACCTTTTCCAGACAATCGTCGAGGATGTGTACCAATGCAGATACTTCTGCTGTCTTCATCGTCCTCTGGTGGCCGGCTAAGGTCATCCCAGGCACATTTTGCACTGACACCGCTTAGATTTGAGCCATCTGTTTCAATCCCTTTATCAACTCGGTCCTGCTTAAAAGGATCCCAAACAAGCAAGCATTTGAGAACATAGTTCTGTCCTTATAGGATCTATTACGTATATTTTGTCAATACTAAGTGTCTGAGAAATTAAGAACTGCAATACTTATTTTCACTGCTCTAAAGACACAAAGGTTAGCCGCAAATCAATGGCGATGAATACAATAGGCTTAAAACGCAGAACATACTGTAGCTCTGCCCAGTGTAATGTCACTTACACTGCTTCATGGGATTTTTTTCCCAGCCCTATCTGGAGGTACTGAAGTTCAGTAATTCTGCATGATTAAGCCTGTGCTCCATCACCAAACGATGGCAGTATGTCTGAGTTGCCAGTTATCATTTAAGTGTAGCGTTGATTCAAAGGTTTAATGAATTCCAACCATTAATTCTCCCAGCATGCTTCACTTCCAAAATCAATAGCAGAAAGAGATATTCCTGCATCTCATGGAAACTACCAGTTCAAAAAATGAAGAAAACGATTTGTCTTCAGTTCTAACATTCACCACCAGATGATGCTGTTAAACTAACTCTTGGCTTTTAAAGTAAGTAGCAGTAACTGCAGCAGTTTGATATGAAAACAGAAAGAAAAAAAGTGATTCAATTTTCCTTTTCACATGTATAACCTGGGTCTGCTTGAGAATATCACTGGAGAAACTGTCAGAAACTACATATCCATCAACTATGGTTATGATGTTTGGTATACTGAAGGAAGACCTCATTCCAATATAGTCAATGGTTACAAAGATCAATTTCAGCATGCTAGCCTATTTCCAACCCAGGAGTGAAGGGTTACATGTAGTTTTCGAAAGCTTTTGAAATCCTTATAGTTATCATAAATCATTGATTTCTAGAAAAAAGACAATGAACAGATGCCTTTCCATTCATATCCAACTTCCCCCAAGCACACAAGGTATCAGGGAATTAGCACATGACTGGGCCTTTTTGTTGATTCTGTTTTAATTGTTTTTACTGCATGCCATCCAGAGTCATTTTAGAGTTGTGCAGTTTTACATATGTCAGAGATGAATGGATGGATGGATGGATGGAAGGAAGGAAGGAAGGAAGGAAGGAAGGAGGAAGAAGGAAGGAAACGATGCCTGTGACCCAGTTCAGTAACAACAGGGAAACTAATCTGAACTGAGCCATGGTTCCCGAGGATTGGAAACATGAAGACTCACAAGTCAAAAATTGGTAGCAAAGTAACAAAAGAATTGACCATTTTTTTCTGAGAACATTCAAATACAAGGAGAGAATTGTTTTGGGTAACAAATGCAATTGTGTCCATTTGTCATGAAATATCAATAAACTAAATAATTAAAATGCATACTTGCAGATGTGGATCTATTTCGAATATTGTTTCCCCACGTCGCATATCTGTGATTAACCATGGACCTCCTGCTCTATAGATGTACAAAAAAACAACAACAGTTAACTGCAACTATTCCCAGAATTTTAGGGTGTCTTGTGCATCTTTACTAACTGCATCTCAGACCATAAAACGCCTTCTCAGATTCTCTTTGCAGGCTATCAAATTTGTACAAATGTACATAATTCTTTAGGTATCACAATCCTAAGGGAATATGATACCTAAATATTTTCACTCTGAAGATATTTATTTTCCCCATGTTATCTAAACTTAACTAATAGAAGAGAATATTTTGTAGCTCAGAATTGAAGTTTGGGATCCCTGGTATTCTCTAAATTTGGTGGTTTTCTTGCAGACATTTAATTACCAAACTAGGTAACCTCATCAGTGCAAGAAGGGACTGGACTGATCTCATTTTATATATTATAGGCTTGTTCTGTCAGTGTTGGTGAGAATGATCTTGGTGATTCCTTGATTAGGCTGTTCCTTACTGTTAGCTTGTTTGTCTGACTCGGTAGTTCCTCGATTGAGGTACTTATTTCTTGATTGTTGGTCTAGTGTTAATCTTGACGTTAATCTTTGCTCATCTGGGTGTTGATCGCTGGAAAGGAGGTGTTTTGGTCTTTTTTTTATTTTTTGGGTTTTTGATTGCCTCTTTTGAATGGTATATGTTATTTCTCTCTATGTGCCTATTGGTGGCTGATTTGTTTGAGTGCCATGCTTTCAGGAATTCTCTAGAATTTTTGGACTTGGTTTGGTCTAGGATGGTCTGTTTTCCAGCTGAAACTATGATTAAGTCTGTCCATGTGTTGTGAAGTAAAGGAGTTTTCATCACATCTTCTGATTGCTAGTTGTTGTTCATGGATGTGCTCTGCTAGTCTTCTGTGTTTGTCCTACGCAGTGGCTGTTATAGTCCTTACACTATATGTTGCAGATGACTCCTGCTTTTTCTTCTGGGTCTGCTAGGTCTTTTAGTTTACTAAGGATGCTTTGGAGGGCTTTAGTTGGTTTATAATAATATAATAATAATAATAATAATAATAA